TATGGCTTGCTTACATTTGTATTTATAGGCAATGCTTGGCATGTAAGAAGAGCTTTTTCTTTCTTTTGGTTCATTCATTCCAAATTGGGTGCACGACAGGACTCTCAAACTCAATATGTTTGAATTAGAACTCTTTATCTTATCCTCTATACAAGCCCCAATTCCAAACATCCATATTTCTGTGGAGGGTCACTGTGCATCTGCCTTCCAGCTTCATAATCTCAGTGCCATTCCCTTATTCTCACTCTCCCTAACCTCACACATCCACTCAGTAATCAAATAAGATCAATTCTATCATCACACAGTAGCTCTTGTGTCTGTAGTCTCCCCACTCACAGAGGTACAAGCCTATTCCAGATCCTCATCACTTTCCACTTGGACCATTGTAATAGCCTCCAGTTGGTCTCCCTGCCTCCAGTCTCTCTCCTCTCCAATCCATTCTCTTGCAGCCAGCAGTGATTTTCCCTAAGCACAGATCTGACCACATCACTCCCCTGTTCAGTAAACTGCAGTTGCTCCTTCTTCTGTCCAGGATCCAATAGAAATCCCTCTGTTGGGCACTTAAGGCCCTTCAAAATTGGGCTGCAACTTTTCCATCTACCTTCATCCATGTTTCTCTCCTGCACACATATTCTAGTAATGATGAAGGAGACTCATGGCCAATGTTCTCTTGGGAAGCCAAGCAGTCAATCTCAATGGTCCCCCCTGATGCACTTTCTCTCCCATTTCTAGGTCTTTGAATCAGTTGTTCCTTATTTCTGCCTATGTTTACATGTATACGTGTTTGCTGTTTAGTCATTTATCCATATCCAACTCTTTTTGACCTCATGGAGCATAGCCCACTAATGCTTTGTGTGGGGTTTTCATGACAAAGATACTGGAGTGCTTTGCCATTTCCTTCTGCAGTGGATTAAGGCAAACAGAGGTTAAGTGACCTGCCCAGGGTCACACCCTGGGCAGATCTTAATTCAGGACTTCCTTACTATAGTCTCAGTGTTCTATCCACTGAGTCATCTAACTGCCTCATATATACATTGGCTTCCTGTACTAGAATGTCCTTGGGGATGGATGGTACTTCATTTTTGCCTCATTATGCCCAGGCCTTAGCATGGTGTTTGATAGCAGAATGCTGAGCTGAGCCTTCAAAGGAAGTAGGAATTGCATGAGACAATTTTGAAGAGGGAGAAGCTTTTAGAGGTCACCAGAGACTCAGGAGATACTTTATTGGGGGTTGTTATGTGAAAGAAAGGGGCCAGGTCTCATTATGCCCACTGGCTAAGCTGGAAAATTCAGCATCTAGCACTGTCAGTTGGTCAAGCAATTATCATTTATTAAGTATTCACTGTGTTCCAGACACTGTGCCAGGTGCTGGTAATATGAAGAAAGGCAAAAAGCATTGTCCCTGCAGTCAAAGAGCTCACGCTCCAATGTAAAGTGGCAAATGGCTACAATACAAATGAGTACTGTATAGGCTAGCTCAAAAGCAATCTTGAAGAGAAGACACTAACATGAAGCAGAAATGGGAAAGACTTCTCCAACAAGGTGGGAGTTTGAGATGGGACTTGAAGGGAGCTGACAAGCAGGAGGCAGAAGTGAGTGGGAAGAACCTCCCAGACACTGAGCAGAACCATCAGAAATTCACAGAGCTGTGAGACTGAGGGTCTTGGGTGAGAAAACCAAGGATCGAAGACTACATTGAGAAGAGTAGGTTAGGAGATGACTGCAAAGGTAAGCATGAGGCTATGTGAGGAAGGGCTTTAAAAGCTGAACATGAGGTTTTATGTTTGATTCTTCAAAGACATTGACACAAACTCCTTGTAAGCACATGAGTCACAAGAGTCAAAGAAAGGGGAAATGGTTAATTTACAGACCAAAGAAAATAAATAGTCTCATTTATGAGACACTCTATTCCACCCCCCCCAAAAAAAAGAGACTTGTGCATCCTCATTCTCTTATGATCATGCATAGGCAGGAACCCTATAGCCAGGCATGGCTACTGTACTCATTAGTGTGTGTCTTCTCTTTCGGTTCTCCTTCAAGTCTTGTTCCAATCTACTTAATGTAGATTATTCTGTCAGCCATTCTCAGACACTGCAGCAGAAGATGATAGCTCTCCTTCCTTAGCACCCTTTCCTATCATGGTTCTTCAGCCATGTCTCTGTTCTGTAGCTATCCACCATATGGTACTGAATGACATTGCCTGTTGCTGCCTGCATAGGGATTCCATATGGAGCTCCTCAGGTCAAACACTTCTTTAGCATCCTGTCCTGTAATGAAAGGAGACTCACCCATTGCCTAGAGATGCTTCCTTTCTTTTACTTTCTGCATCCATCTCAGACACAGTACCTCGAGACAATCCCTACTCTGGCTTTTTTCCTTTCACGATAATTCCTGATGACTTCTAGACCCATGGAAACTGGCCTAGTGTTCACCTTTGAACATTTGCTCTCTTGACTTCCTTCAAGACTCAGTTTAAATCATACCCAACTTAGGAGGATTTCCTGCCTCCCCTTTCTCCCATGTTTGCAGTGCCTTCCACAATAAGATTGCTTTCCATTTTCTCTGTAAGTATCTATATCTTTACAGGCAGGGACTGTTTTTGTGACAGTTTAAATTATCATCAGTTCTTACCACAGTGCTTCATATGTAACAAGCACTTAATATACATTTGTGAAGGATTGATCAAGGAAAAACCACCGTAGAGAGCATTCTGCCAAGCCAGTCTTCTTCCCCATTGCCAGTGTGGATGACTACCCCAGTATCCAGGCAGTACCCCTTGAACTCAAGTGAACAACTTCTGTGGAGGGTCAGGCTCAGCAAAACTCACCATTTTGTCCCTCAATTTCATTTTAGGCTTTTTGGCAACAATTTGGCATATAGTTCTCTTGCAGCAACCTGGGGAGTGAGAGGGGGAAGAGAAAAATACTTCTGGCACTGCTACATTTGATTCATCTTCCTTTGAATTTAAGTAGCTGTGACATTGTCTTATGAAAAAAAAAATAAAGCCTCCCCCATTTCACTGCTGTGATACTGGGCCCCCAGTGAGGAAGCAGCTGAACATAAGACTTCTAAAATAAGTAGATACCCCAAAAGACATTCCCACCAGTTGTTGGGTGGCTCTGAGATCAGCTATCCAATATACTCATCGACAAGCGGAATATTAACCTATCTACTTCCCTTCCTGGTACTGGGAAAATGCTGAATAAATGGGAGAAGGCAGGTTGGGAACATAATATTTGGGTTGCATTTATTGCCATTGTGAATTGGGCAAGTTCTCATCTTTCTGTATAACTAAGATATTCATAGAGCTAAAGATGTACTTAGTGAGAAATCTAGGATTGGCTGGAGGATGTGGGGAGGGAGAATAGCTCAGACTCCAGTGTAAATAGCAATAAAGAGGGAGGGGGAAGCCTCCCCTTATTTCTCTGATAGGATATCTAGATATCAGGAGCTAAGTTCAAATTTTTCTGGGATTGTCCATCAGACCTTCAGTACTCATACCCATAGCCTGTAGAAGACTCTGTGTGAGAGATCTCTTTTCCCTTGAATCCCAAAGACCCCTTTTCTGTGCCTCCCTGCTTCCCTCTTAGTTTTGAAGGAAACTGGTTAGAGGAAGGGATGGAAAATATCCCTAAGTAAAGTTATTTTTTTTTCTTTTTCATCTACAACATTTCACTTCATAAGCTTTTCTAAAGAGTGAGAGTTTGGCTGAGGTCCAGGCTGCAAAGAGAGGGTGAAGACTTTTTCTTCACAAGGTCCCAAGGGTACCTTTCTAAGATAAAGGGATTTTGAAGGGAACTGCTTCCATTGAGAAAGCAGTCATGGTACCAGAAGACTATAGAAATAATAACAATAATAGCAACAATAGCTAACATTTAAATAGCTCTTACTATGTGAAAGTCAGGGTGCTAAACTTAAAATTTTGGCCAGATTTTGCAAAGCAATTTACACAAATACATGCAAAGGATCTTTGACTTCCAAGGATGTAGGTATTCCCTTCACAGATGCAAATCACCACCCATCCACATCTGCCCATCTGGGATGACTTTTTTTCTGTTCTATTAATTCACCATTGGGAGACCACCAAGTAAGCTTGGGCCCTTCCGAGCACCCCATAGACAATTCTAAAAGAATCCAAGTGCATCCTTCCTCCCTGTGTTTTGAACAGATGTCTTTTCTTCCTCCTCAGATGCTCCTCAGGCACTCTGTTTGAATCTTGCCATTATCCTATATTGTCACTTTACCTTTCTGTCTTTCTTTCAAAGTTAAATGCTTCTTCAAAGGAATTGAACATTGTATCTACTCTTACCCTTCTGGAGAAACTGAGTGGAGAAATTAAAGGGATTCACTAAGTATTAATTAAAAGAAATAAAAAAGTCTCTGATTCTTTGGTAATGCAACACATAATGGAGTGAACTACCATTCTCTGGAAGATATTTCTATGTTTTTGTGTGGGCATGAGTGTACATATGTGAGCACTTTAGCATGCAGCCCTTATATGCCTCATTTCTCAATGTTCTTGCATGAATTTGAGAGGGACAGGATTGCCATGGAGTCTTAAATGTGTTTTGAGTCAGGTGCATTTTCAGGCTCATTTTTGTTTTTAAATTCGTAGGCAGAGACCATCAGCTAAAACTTTCCTTCTCATCTCTTGTTCAGTTCCTTGTGCCTCTTGATGAGGGTGGACAGAAATAACTTCTGTCTCACTCTCTTTCCCTTTTTGAAGCAGTGATTGCTGTCTGCCATCCAGCCCCCTGCCTTCACTCTGCCACAGATGGTCTCTAATTCCCTTTCCCTGGAGTAGCCATGAAAAGATGCAGATGATATTTTGGGAGTCTGTGTCATTAGACTACATCTACTCAGACCTCTAGTTAGTCATCTCAGGGGGTTGTTTGTCAATTTTTAAGAATTCCAAACTGCTAAACTTGGCTTGTTTTATAGCAGCCACAACATACGTGCTTTCCTCTCATCCAGTACTATCTTTTCCATCATCCTTTCAGGCTGTAGAATGTCGACCATTGGATGCTTTGAAGGGTTCCAGCCTGTGGCACTGAAGCCAGATGGAGATGATCAGCCCTCAGCAAAAGACAGCCTCCCAATGGAAGAGGGGAGTTCAGGCAGAGACTCAGTGCCCAGCAGAATGGCAAGGCAGCCTAGTGTGACCGAGTCAGTTCTCTACCCAAATCTGTACACTCAGCCACATTGCACACGCAAGTACTTTGTTACTCGGGTAATGGATCTTGCTTCTATTTCTTAAACCACATCTTGGATTTCATGGGAGTGGGCAGAGGGCATAGGCTGGCAGGTCTTAAAAAGTGTTAAGTTTAACATGCATAGTGTCATCTAAAGGGTTAAAATAAAATACTGAGCTAGCTGCTGACCGGATCAACATAGGTTAATATGACGCTCTTTCTGGAGTTAAAAGACTCTCAGAGGCCATCTAACCAAAACTTCTCATTTTACATATGGAACTGAGGCCAAGAGAGTTAAAATAACTCGTCTAAAGTCTTATAGCTAAGTAGCAAAACCATTATTCATACTCAGGTTCTGCAACTTTAAATTCATTGAGTTCCTCATCTTTCTCAAGCCCAGTCCAGTATGTTTTTCACTTCATTCATTCATTCAATCATTCATTCATTCATTCCCTTATTCATTCATTACTTTCCTTTATCTTATATTTATCAAGTGTCAGCTATGAGCAGGGAGGTATGTAAGACAGGACTGAAATAGAGATATAACAGAGGGGTGGCTTTCAAGCATTTTAAACTAAATGCAGAGAGGCAGGCCATGCATACCAATGATTATAATAGACAAAGCAAATGAGGATTATTCTGAGCAAAGACAAAAAGGTCCTTTCAGCTGAGGAGGAAGAGGAGGAAGAGGAAGAAGAGAAGAAGAGAGAGTTTCATGGCACAGATGACACCTAGGTAAGGCTCTATGATCTAGTGGCAGGTACTAGACTTGGAATCCCAAGGGTCTAATTCTGACCTGGAGGTGCTGAGGAGGGCAGTGGAGAAGCAGGAATATAAGGAGTGGCCAGAAATACAAAGATGGGGAGTGAAGGAGCAGCAAGAGAATGATGGACTCACTAGCAGTTGGGCTAGAACATGGTCTATGTACCAAAGTATGGATGGATTAGTGCATGGTATGCTAGATCATAGTCACCTTCAAATTCTCCCTTAACCCTTTCTAGTTGAAAGTATCAGGTTAAACTTAGTTTTCTCATCCCTAAAACAGAGTCGATAATATCTGATAGTGTTGGAGTTTCCAATAAGATGAATTCTGCAATTCACTTTGAAAATCTTACAGTCTTTGTGCATTTGTACATTTACAACATGCACACATGCAAACATACATCTTGTATTTGTGTGTGTGTGTGTGTGTGTGTGTGTGTGTGTAAAAAGATTTGGACTGGGCCTATGAGTTTATCATTGCAGAAAACTCCTAGTAATGAAACTTCCTCCATGAAGATGAATCAATCATCCAATCAATCCATCCATCAAGAAATATATATTAAGCACCTATTACATGCCAGGCAGTGTGCTAACCATTGGGAATACAAATACAAAGAATGAAGCGATCCATTTTAGCAAAGTGCTTACATTCAATTGGTACTTAACAGTCTTAAATACTTGTGTATGGTACTAAGAGGTTAGGTGACTTCCTCAGGTAACATAGAAAGCATGTTAGAGATGGGATTTCACCCTATGTCTTTGACCCTATGACCTAGTTTTCTCTAGTTTCTATACTAATAGCCTTCACACACACACACACACACACACACACAGAGTTACATTATGTGTATATGTATATATACACATATGGGCATATGTGTGTATATATGTAGTTGCATAAATATGTTTCCATGTGTATGTATATTTATAGGCATATATGTACATATTTGTATATATGCATATATCCTGTATGAATTTGTATGTACATATGTGTATATATATATATATATGCATGTGTATAAATATTTGTATATAGCTATATATCTATGTTTGTGTGTGTGTGTGTATATATATATATATATACATATATATATATATATATATACATATATATATATATATACATATATATATATGCAGAGAGAGAGAGAGAGAGAGAGAAGTGTACATATTTACATATTTTCATTTGTGTTCAGTCACCCTTTGTGACCCCATTTGGGGTTCCTCAGCAAAGATACTGGAGTGATTTGCCATTTCTTTCTCCAGCTCATTTTACAGATGAGGAAAGTAAGACAAACAGGGTTAAGTGACTTGGCCAGGGTCAGACAGCCAGTACACATCTGAAGCCAGATTTGAACTCAGGAAGATGATTCTCCCTGACTCCAGGCCTGGCACTTCATCTGCTACACCACCTAGCTGCCCCTTCGATATATACATGTACATATACATACACACACACACACACACACGTATGCATAGGATGAGGAGCTGATAAGAGAGAAAGAGTTCAGAAGTTCATTATACACACACTCACAAATGTGTGTGTGTACATACATGTATTTTAAGGATATATGTATATAAAGACACACACATACATGTGTTTCACCTACATATGCATGTACACACATACTCTCTGTGTGCCACATAAGGTAGAGTGAGAGAAGGAAGGCCCCAGGAACGGGCTGTCTCTCACAGCAGGGAAGCAGAGATCCAAGTCAAATGGATGGTTTGACAACTTTGTCAAATGCTTTTGTGAGGCTAAAGAATCTGGATCCCACAAAAGCAAACTAAGAAAACAAACAAAAAAATTGAGCCGTGTCTTCCATCCCCAAGAAACTGTGTAACGGCAGCGAGACATGCCTGAGCCCCGGTGTCCCGGCTCGCCGTGCAGCCCTTCTCCCTGTAGTATCCCTGTTCACGACCCCATGTGGCGTCCTCGAAGGTTCAATCACTCAGACGGGGTAGAGGCAAACACTGCAACGCGTCTCAGCTTGACTCCTGTGGCAGCAGAAAGACAGAGCGTCAGGTCGTTTATTTTAATTTTCATATGCGCTTGGGGAAGAGTGTTTCAAACAAGATGCCTGAGAATACAGAATGGCCTGCACCAATATTGCAAGGAATTGTAATCGTGTCTGTGCAGGTATACGCGGATCGTCAACTATTGTACTATTGTACAGGACACTGTGCTGCACACCCACACACATTTATTTTGACAAAATGAATCAAAGCATCTCAGAGTTGGAAAGGAACTCATCGACATAGAGGCCAGCCCCTATCTAACCAAGAATCCCCTCCCCCATCCCCACCAAGAGGTCTTTCAGTTTTTTTTTTTTCCTTGACAATATCCAGCTACAGGAGACCGGGCTTCTTCCTGAAGAAGCCCAATCCACGTCAGACAGCTGTAAGTGGGAGGAGGTATTTTCCTGATATACATCCATTACTGCTGATTGTATCACCTGGGATACAAGTAGAATACATGTGCTATCTCTTCCATACAACAGCTATTCAGTCATTTAAAGGCCTCCGTGATACCACCCACCCAAGTCCTTTCTTCTCTAGGCTGAACAGACTTTATTCTTTCAGGTAATCCTTTTATGTCCTTAGTTCAGTATCCTTCACCATCTGACTCGCATTCCCCTTTACACTGTAGAACTCATCAAGGTCCTTCCTAAAATATGGCATCCAGAACAGAGCACAATTGGGATTTATTCACACCAGAGTATAGTGGGGCTGTCATCTCTCAGAAGTCCTGGGTGCCTCGCTCAATGAAGCTGGAGATCCTGAGCACCACTGGCTGCCATGATCACATCACTGACTCTGACGGAGTTTGCCATCAGCTAAAACTTTCAGCTCTTCCTCAAGCAAGTCATGTTCTAGTCATGCTTCCCCCACATTGTACTTAAATGATGACTTATTTGAAGCCAAGTGTAAGACTCCATTGGATATCCCTTCCTTTGAATTGGACCTAAAACCACAACTGGCAATTTGTTAGAGTGGTCATTCGACTGGCCCCATATCCACTTAACTTCATAACTGTATATTTGTTAGTTATAGCACAAAACACTTCAAGAAATGGAGGCATGAACTGTGACTCTAAAGTAAATTCAATTAATAAAAATAACAACTACTCTTTTGAGTCGTAAGGAGGAGTAGCGTTGTTTAAAGGTCCCAGGATAATTACTCAGAGTCAACTTTGGTAGTGTGGGAGTAGCAAGGGAAGGGGGATGCAGTAGTGCTTGCAGCTTTGAACTTGTTAGAACATTAGAGGAAGGCACTTGGATTTTTTTCTGCTCTCCCTTCCTCTACCCTTTCTCATGTTCCTTCTCCTTGATTCTCCTGCTTCTACACTCAGTGTAGGAGAATGGGGAGAAGGTACTGGAGACTCACCAAGGAGTCTGAATGGAGCAAGGAGATCTGAATGGGTGTGTTGAGTATATATGGATTTGATGGCGGTGTCTGGCTTGCTCTGTCCAGGACTAAAAGCACCTCTTTGTCATTAAACAATGAAGAGCCGCAAGTGACCAAGGTCTTCATCAGTCTTGAGCACACTTGAAATAAAACCCAAGTGGGCACCAGAAGTCAAATATGGAAGAGTTGTAGGAGACTCAAAGAGCAAATATTTAGCAACAGGGCACCCTAGGGTGAATCAAGGATATTTCGGAACCTGTAAGAATGGCCAGCAAGTCAGACAGATGCTGGTCTATTTGCTTCAGCCGGACTCATTGAACTTTTTATTGCTGCTTCAATATTGAGAAGAGAAGCTGCTGACTGGCTTCCACCTTGGGCCTTTGTTTTGTTCTGAAGTGCTTGCTAGGGCCGTAACTCACTGGAGGGAGACTGAACTGGCTCAGAGTGATTCTTGAGAAAGAAGAGCTGCCCTTGATGTACATGATTCAGATTGATAGACTGGCCCGAAGGCTTTTAGACAGTGACGTTAAGAACCAAGGGCTGTCTTTCAAAGGACAGAGAAGTCAACTCATGAGGCTGCTGAGAACACTTAGATAATGGAATCCGTAGACTAGAGAGGTCAGCATGGAAAAGCTACAATGAGCCATTCAAGCCTGAGATGAGATCATATTGGCAAACTTTGGACACCACTAAGCATCGATTGTGTGACCGGCCACTTGGCCAAAATCACATTTAATAGATGAGAGGACAAACTAACAAGGACGTCTCATATATGCCACGAATCTGTTTGGACAGCCCTTTCTCACTGTTTTAGCTCATTTGCTATTAAAGCTCAAATACAGCTAATGCAGCCCGCCTGTCTTTTTTG